AGTGATTACATCTCTTTCCGTCCATTATTGTTCGTTGGAAGCAAGCCCCCAATGAGCAGAGAAGGACATTCTAAATCAGATCCTCCTGGCATGAGCAAAGGAAAGTAGCCCAGGGCTTTTCCAGAGGGTAACACTAAAGCACACAGAATGTTTTCCTCCTTGTCCCTGTATATAGCTCTATCTTTTTATCTTGGGCCTGTCCTCTTTATCTTCTTACCAGTCTTAAGTATTATTTCTGTGAACATCCATAGATTATATTTACACTTCCCTGTCCAGGAAATAAATGACTGTATTCTAAATGACTAATCAGTTTTAATAATCGAGATTAATTAAATCACTATCTATTAGAATAGTTATTTAGCTCACTATCTTTTTGAAAGATAAAACAAAGGTAGTTAAAAAAATGAAAATCTGGGCTTGCAGCATTTCAAAGCACCGTATAAGCTGGATTTTTTTGTTAGTTCAAACCTCAATATGGAATCACCACTTTGTCAGGGAAGCCACACTTTTAACTGCAAAAGGGGCAGCTGAATGATGTTTCCATGTGTTTACAAGTCGTAACTAATGAAACAATTATGTGCAATGACAACCTCTGCTGGTATGGCTAGGGTACTTGAAATCAGCTTTACATACTTGCCATGGAATTACAACATAATTAGGTATGTATGAGTTCTCCCACCCTTTTTTTCCTTACTCAATTCTGAAGTTTATAGTTCAGCTTTAATTTAGAGCCTTCTCTCTGGTAATGGCTTTTAATTCTTCCAACTGCTCATCAGTTTTCCTTGTACTAAACAAGAACCATCAGCTCATGTTTCATTGAAAACTCATTTAACTGTCGCTCCATATGCTTTTAAGGACAAAAAGGCAATTATGCTTAATTAAGATTTGAAAAACAACTACCACAACTTCTCCAAATTAATAATTTCTAAGTATTCCTTCTTCAACAAAGGGCAATCTGGGTAAAGTATTTGTATGATGTTTGCCTAATACTAGGAATTCACCCTATATCTCAGTGGTTCTCAGCAATACAGATAATAAAATCATATTACCAATTTGCAAAATGGAGGTTTCAGACTCCCAGTTCCAACCTCATTCCTATACTGCACAAGAGTGAAGAAAGAAGGAAGCCGGGAGAGGAAGAAGGCTGGGAGTAAAGACAGCACTTTGTGTTATAATTGGTGAACTGTCTCAGTTGACAAGTCTGAAGGAAGAACTCACAAAAGCCTTTGAGGAGTTGTAGCAAATTTTGAACACAACGTTAGCCTTACATCTTGAGACCAAAAAAATGGCACTTGGATGCATGAAATCTTAAATAAAATAAAGCAAAATATAAACAAAACCCACAGAGCTCTGAGTATTTTTGTTATTGTTCACACTCGGTAAGAATCCTTAAAAGTCCTTAAAACACTACTCCTTCCACACTTGTAAGCTGCTATTACAAGGCCAAGGGAAGACTTGTGCCCAACATGGGAGAAGGTTTGCTGTTACCATTCTGCAATCAAAACCTGTTTCATGTCTTTTGACTTAACAATTATGGAAGTAAGGCCATGTAAAAAATAGTGGAAACATGGGATGCTATTTTAAAAACAGGTCTGATTTTTATACAAGATCTTTTGAGGGCAAAAAGTCCAAAGTCCAGTGATGAAATTATCTGTTCTATCCTTTACTGTTTACATGGTCCAAAAAGATTTATTGTTTGTTGAAGATATCATTTTTCTTAGCAGATTGAAAGTCTGAACTAGACAGCTCTCAAGGTTTTGAATTTGAATTTAAAATTATCTTCAAGGTTTTGAATGATCAAGACATGGACAGACAAAATCAAAGATGAAGGGAACAGAAAAATCCTCGTGCCATCATGATTCAAGCCTCAATGTAAACAGTGAGTACGTATGTATAACACAACCTCAGTTTTGTTATAACATTTTTTGTGTTTGATTTGGTAATTAGCACAACGAAATTTAACGTATTTTTTTAATAGTGTTTCCTCATACTGTACCAGATGTCTTAATCTCAGCATCTAGAATAAATAAGTGAAGGTTTACCATAAAATGTATAAACACCGAGCAAATATTTTTGCACATGATTCTTTTTATAACTTTTCATTACTCTAATTGACTTTGATGTTAAAGTACTTTAAATATTTTGACTTTTTAAAACCAAAATTTTAGGTATCTTAGCTAGTAGGAATAATGTCCTTTGAAAAGCGTTCTAAAAATTTTTGACAGTATTAATGATTACATAAAAAATTGAGTTTATATTTTAACTTATTTTAAAGTTATATTGAAAAGGGAAACAAGTAAATGGAGCGTATACAATTTTTATGATTTAAGTATATCTGTAAAAGGAATGTTTTTTTTTTCCTAACAGAACAATGTATGCACACTGTGAAAACTCAAACATGCTGAAAGGGAAGAAGAATAAAATGTAATAATCACAGACAATTTCCCTACCCCAAAATAAGCATAATTAACATTTTATCATCTTACTTCTTATTTTGTATTTTTCAGCTAGCTGAAAATATACTGTATTTTGTGTTCACTTTTTTATATTTTACCTCATTTCCTAAGAAATTTCTTAATAAAATACACCTTGTAAATGCTTCAATGGCTGTTTTAGTTGATTGGTCCCCAATTGTTCTGTTAGATTTTATCCTTGTGCAAGTATTATTACAAATGACATTGGGATGAAAGCATTTGTACATAGATGTCTGAATGCAAGTTTATTTCTTAACAGGGCTCCAGGGACCAGAAATCTATTTTCTATCGCCTTTAGTTGTTAGGAAAAATTTGCAGCCACACAAATCAATCAGTACATCAGAGGGATTATAGCACTCCTCCATATGCTCAGGTCTTGATCTCTTTGGATTACAACCCTGAGCAAATTCCATTTCTCTCTTGAACTAGACAAATAGCAAATTAATGTAACAATAAAATCTCACTCAATTTAGTGAATTTTGGAGGCTGAATTAAATCATTTTTTTTTTCTTTACAAATCCAGGTAACTTCTTTACAATCAGAAAAAAGACTATTTTTTTATGAAGCCATTAAGCTTTTGAATCTTCAAAGCTTTCTGTACCATTCATTGAAAAGTAGCCTTTTATATTTCCTATTCTTGATGAGAGCATCTCTTCCTAATATGTTGGAATAACTTACTGAATATCAGTTTAGGCAATGAATTTCCATTTTACTTATGTATTTGCCTATGTCAGGTATAAGTGGTTAAACTTCTGTTCTTAAACTTTGGAAAGTTGTGTATGAAACGGATTAATAGATTGTTCATTCTTATTTAACTAAATAGAGGATAGGTGAGTATTTTTATGTACATGTAGACTTACCTCCTGATCATAATGACTCCAAAAGATTAATGTTTCTATGGGAAATTAAGATTTAATTAAAGCAAAGCAGAACAAAACAAAACAAAAAAACCTTAGGGCCTTGTTTTCTACATTTTCCCTACTCAGAATCAGAATATAGTTGCAAACCAGGCAAGATGAGTTTCTTCGTTGGTAAAAATGAAAATGCCTGCCCTTGTTACCATCAGATATGATTTCTATAGTTATGCAGTTTCTGTCCCCTCTGCCATCCTCAAGGAATTTCCTTTTGCTATCGTTTCCTCTTACTTCTAAATCATCAATTACTCTCCCCCTAGGCAGGATTTTCCTTATGAATTCATAACATCCTCTTGTATTTCATATTTAAAAAACAATCCAACCTACATTTAATAACAACATATACTTTTTCTGCTAGATGGTCACCCTCTGCTTTCTGTCACACACACACTCAAAAACTTCTAGAAACATTTGTTTATAATAGTGATTCTCAATGCTGGCAGCAATATTAGAATTCTCTGAAAACTCATTAACAATACTCCAGCTTCAAAAATACTTTCAAGCTCATCCCTTTACTTCTGATATGGGATAAGGCACTGGAAATTCTCTAAAATTCCACAGTTGGATCTAGGGTTGAGGTACACTAGCCTATGTTGTCATTTTCCATTTTCACACTTCATGTTCTGCCTTCAATCTCCATCACCACCATTCCATTGAAACTTCCCTAAGCAAAGTCACCAATGGCTTCCATGTAACCTAATCTCATAGTCACTTCTTTGTCTTCATCTTACCTTCTCAGCAACATTTCACACAATTGCCTACTCCCTACCTGCCAGCTTATCTTTTCTTGGCTTACGTAACACCAAACTCTTCTGGTGTTCTTTCATTACAGCCATCCTTAGTTCTCTTTGCTGGTGCCTCCTCTTAGTTGGCCTTCTAAATGTTATGTCTTAACACTCACCTCTGAGACTGTTTTGTTTCAATGGAAACTTTCTCCCTAGGGCATCTCATTTAATCCAGTGGATTTAAATACTAGCTCTAACTTCCAAATTGTTATATGGATTTAAATACAAGTTAAGTATAAACCAAACAAACAAACAAACAAACAAAAAACAACTTAGTGTCTTCTTAAAGCCTCCAGTAGACAGATACTTTACAATTCTGGAACACAATGGTGTCTTTACTGATGACTTGTGATTTGAAGCTAGCAAAATCTGAAGGAAGTCAAGGAGAGTGGTACCCCAGAAGAATCTTGTTTCCCCTTAATATCTCTTACCAGTTACCAAAAAGTTAAGAATTTTGGAGGATGTCATACTAAGGTTGTAATTACAATAGTCAACATTTACTGAGAGTTTCCTCAGTCCCAGGCCTGTTCCTATAACTGTATGATACAGATGTTAAGTTCATTTTAGTAAAGAGAAAACTGAGCCAGATAAATCAATTACCTGTGCACCATCCAATAACAAGGCAATGGCATAAATAGCATTAAGAGATGACATATCTGACTCTAGGAGGTGTGGTTCCCCATCTCTGCATTAGGTCAACTCCACCCATCTCCCTGCCTGTACATCATTTCTCTGAAGTTAAAACCCTTTACGTTTTACTCTACAAATAATGAAGGTAATATTAGGGACAAATTTGACTAGATATTCTCCATTAAAAAAGGTTTTTATTCATCCTTTTCTTGGGGTTGCGCTATTGTCCAATGAGTCCATAGTGAGGGCAGTACTGCTAAGGCCTAAACAACACACTCGCATTAACTAAAGCTCTGCTTTATGTGGGTAAAATTTTTGGAAAAAATGAAAACCCTTTTAAAAAAAAAAAAAACAAAAAGTTTTTCATGTCACAGAAGTGGCACCCATGGTTCTTTGGGAAAGATAGGCCTACATCTGGTCAGCCACACCTCCAAAGAAGGATTTGCTGCTACTTCTGTTGGCAGAGGTTTCTATTCTGTGGTCAGCTTTGTCTGAGCCATACTGGCCTTTGCATTGCCTAATCTCTCATAAGAAGCTCATAGTTAGAGTATCACAATAAAGGAAAAGGAAATATATGTAGATTTCTCACTATGAAAAAATAATAATTTGTGATAGCAAATGTGTGAAATTACATATGTTATCCAACTTATCCATTATCTTTTAATCAAAGTGAATTCACTGGAACTATATACAAATGTTCACTCTAAAAAAAAAATACTGACATTTCAATATCCATTGTTGGCCCAAACCCAAGCTTTTCTAGTTATACTAATTCATTGTTTTGCTTTTCAATCAAACACTTTTTATTCCACCCCAGTTGTGACAATATTGTGAGAATCTCTATTATCACAAATTGTACTTTATTCTTAAACTTTTTTCTCCCAGTATTCCCATTTTCCATGATAAATCTTTTCATCCTTAACTGCTTTTGTTTGATAAATTATTCTGCTTCAGAGAATTCTTTATGCCTGTCATTTAAAAACATGTTTATAGATAATATCCACATTTCTACTATCAATAGAAAAATTGACAAGGTCATAAAAACAGTCTAAGAATTAATAGCTTCTAGATCATTTTATAGTCAGGCTCTGTCAAAAGATTATATTCATGTTTGCAATAGGAACTGTGAAAATGTGGAATTTTCTAAAATATCAGAATGAGGCCAATCCTATTGTTATTTTATACTCTTTAAATGGTAATAAGTAATGAATTTTTTTTTCCACTTTTAGGAACTGAATCTAGAGAAGGGACTGACAGAGGTATCCATTTTTCCACAAAGATAAGGGCTCTTAACATCTTGAACTCCCTTGTTCCCTGGTAGTTATTTTTAGAATGATTTGCTTATGTTTGTATCACTTATGTTTTCTCTCTTCATTTATGGTTTACATCTCAGCTGTTTCATAACCAGAAACTCTCCACACAGCATATAGTGAATTCTATTTTTACCCCATTATATAATTTCAATTTGTTTAAAAAGGAGTTTATTTAACGAAAATAAATGAACATAAAAAGAAAGCAGCAATGAAACTCCTTCATTTCACAGTGTCCAATATGGTCTACGGGAGAGTATTACATGCCATTTCTTCTTTTACATTATTCATAATCCAGTCTGATCAGTCTATGTACTCACCTTAAATGTTTGATAGTTTGTTGGAGTCCCTGTAACTTAAGTAACATCTAGAATTGACTTATTTGATCATCTGATTAAAACTTGGACTTGCTTTTTTGTGTAACTATACTCTTCTCCTTCCCCCTTCTCTGGTGATCTCTTTCCACACAGTTGTACTCCAAGTCTGTTTCTATCCATCTTACAGAGGAATTCTTCTCACGGTGCAACAAATCCTGCTCACTTGACAGATAAACTCAGTTCTCACCTGAGAATTATCACCTGATTAACACTGTTCAGAATTTGTGACATATATAACACATTTTAGAAATTAATGCTCACTTGGAGCAGATTTGAATTTAACAGTTTAACTCATTGCACCTGAGATCTCAGTCTAAAAGAGATGTCAGTTGGTTTACTCAATCTTGTTATGAGGTCTGGTTGTTTCCATCACATTCTTCTTTAGACATGACTTATGTCTGAGACTGTGCTATATATGAGTGGCAAGGTGCTCATGATTAAACATATGTTAATTACATATATAGCAAGCAATGTGTACACCTTTATAGACTATTATATACATGTATGTAATACATACATATATACAATATATTTTCTAAACGATATATTTTAGACAAAGATATAGAACTTTGAAAACTTTTGAAAAGACAGGAACATTTTATTTTAAATGTAAATATCTGAATATCAGATTATGACTGTCTGCATCTGGGATATTTATTAGGATAAGGAAGAAGAAAAAGAAGAGAATAACTTTGGCTATGATATGACACTAAATCCTTCCTAATAGCCTTGGCATAAATCAATGTTAAATGACATATGTGCACACAATCAGGAAAAAATTTAATATATTATTAAGATTAATTACAGGAACACATCAACAGGCTTTAGTTCTCATCAATGACATTTATTTCCTAAGTACTCTAGTGGAAGGGATGAAAGTCTTTGATGATCGTCAATAGCATTGACTTCGCACTAATGGCCAGAGGTCTAGGTCTCTTCACTAGGCTGAGACTGGGTCAGGTTTCTGTGGAGGAAAATAACTCATTACTCTTCATATTGAAGACATCCTTCAGAAAATTTGGCTGCTAAGGGAGATTTTCTTTTACAGAGATAGTTCCTCTTACGCAGTAAGTAAGACTTGTTTAGTCAGTTAATCAATCTAATTACATTTATTGAATATCTAACAGGAAAGAACGCAGACAATGGAACCCTAAGTCGATGACTGTTTCCACTTGCTCTGAATAAAGCTAGTGGAGAAACATTTCATTACCTTAGTCAAGTCTCAATCGATCTATAGGATGATCTTGTCATGGAAGTTCACCTTACTTTACGAAATAGACATATTGTTTGCAAATTAAATCTTAATTTTATTGGGAAAACTTACTCTTTCAAATAATTTTGGGATGAATCATAACAATGCACAGATGAAATTATGGCAACTTTTTGTAATAACACTAGCACATTCTAGCATAAAGTCAGAGTTTTTCATTCTCTATATTTTTAAAATATTGGCAATTTATAAATAGAGCACAGCTATATTTTTCCTTTTGTCTTTGATGATGGTGTAGCTGTGTTTCTCTGGTTGACTTAAATTGAAGGGTATGCTTGGGAATTACTTGTATGAACATCATTTATATTCAACAATTGATTGTGACCTGCTTAGGGAAAAAGTATCTATTCTTGTAAACCCAGAGACTAAAGTTATAGCATACTTGAGGGTTTTAGCAAATAGAATAAAATGATAAATAAAGCCTGTATGAAGTTAGTGAGTGTACTCATTTGAAAAGAAAAGGGCAGAATGGGAAAATAACCCCAACTAGGTGGGATTCTAATTTTCATGTGAAAATTAAATCATGTTAAACTAGTTTGTCTAGTAGGTGCTAAATTGGCACTTATACTTTTGCAAAAAACATAAGAATGCAAATGTATATAAAAAGTGAAGGATAACTGCCTGGCGTGGTGGCTAATGCCTATGATCCCAGAACTTTGGGAGGCCGAGGAGGCAGATCACTTGAGGTCAGGTATTCGAGACTAGCCAGGCCAACATGGCATAACCCCGTCTCTACTAAAAATATAAAAATTATTGAATGGGAGGGGTGAGAGAGGGAATCCTTGTCTAGTGCCAGTTTTCAAAGGGAATGCTTCCAGTTTTTGCCCATTCAGTATGATATTGGCCATAGGTTTGTCATAAATAGCTCTTATTATTTTGAGATAAGTTCCATCAATACCTAGTTTATTGAGGGTTTTTAGCATAAAGGGCTACTGAATTTTGTCGAAAGACTTTTCTGTATCTTTTGAGATAATCATGTGGTTTTTGTCTTTGGTTCTGTTTATGTGACGGATTACATTTATAGATTTGCATATGTTGAACCAGCCTTGCATCCCCGGGATAAAGCCTACTTGATCGTGATGGATAAGCTTTTTGATGTCCTGTTGCATTCTGTTTGCCAGTATTTTATTGAAGATTTTTGCATCGACGTTCCTCATGGATACTGGTCTGAAGTTTTCTTTTTTAGTTTTATCTCTGCCAGGTTTTGGTATCAGGATGATGCTGGTCTCAATAAAATGAGTTAGGGAGGATCCCCTCTTTTTTATTGTTTGGAATAGTTTCAGAAGGAATGGTACCAGCCCCTCTTTGCACATCTGGTAGAATTCCACTGTGAACCCATCTGGACCTGGACTTCTTTTGGTTGGTAGGCTATTAATTGCTGCCTCAACTTTAGCCCTTGTTATTGGTCCATTCAGGCAAGAAAAAGAAATAAAATGTATTCACTTAGGAAAAGAGGAAGTCAATTGTCTTTATTTGCAAACGACAGGATGGTACATTTACAAGACCCTATCGTCTCAGCCCCAAATCTCCTTAAGCTGATAAGCAACTTCAGCAGAGTCTCAGCATACAATATCAATGTGCAGAAATCACAAGCATTCCTATACACCAATAACAGACTAACAGAGAACCAAATCATGAGCCAACTCCCATTCACAATAGCTACAAAGAGAATAAAATACCTAGGAATATAACTAACAAAGGCTGTAAAGGACCTCTTCAAGGAGAACTACAAACCACTGCTCAAGGAAATAAGAGAGGAGACAAACAGATGGAGAAACATTCCATGCTCATGGTTAGGAAGAATCAGTATCATGAAAATAGTCATAGTGCCCAAAGTAATTTACAGCTTCAACACAATCTCCATCAAGCTAACAATGACCTTCTTCACAGAACTGGGAAAAAAACTACTTTAAACTTCATATGGAACCAAAAGAAGGCCTGCATAGCCAAGACAATCCTAAGCAAAAAGAACAAAACTGGAGGCATCACCCTACTGGACTTCAAACTATACTACAAGGCTACAGTAATCAAAACAGCATGGTACTGGTACCAAAACATATATAGGCCAGTGGAACAGAACAGAGGCGTCGGAAGCAAACTCACATCTACAACCATCTGATCTCTGACAAACCTGACAAAAACAAGTAATGGGGAAAGGATTCCCTGTTTAATAAATGGTGTTGGGAAAACTGGCTAGCCATGTGCAGAAAACAGAAACTGGACCCCTTCCTTACACCTTACACTAAAATTAACTCCAGATGGATTAAAGATTTAAACATAAGATGTAACACCATAAAAACCCCAGAAGAAAACCCAGGCAATACCATTCAGGACACAGGCACAGGCAAGGACTTCATGACTAAAAC